TGGTATTGTGCTGTTTCCCAAACCAAGGCTGCGAAGAAACTGGCAGATTAGAGGAAAGTTTTGGAAGAAAGAGGCATGAAGATTAGCAGAACTAAAACAGCTTATATGACTCTGAATGGTAGAGATGAGTGTAATATTAGAATCCAAAATGTGCTGCACCCTTTGGTTCCGAGTTTTAAATATCTTGGGACATTTGTCAAGATGGGATTGAACTTGGAGGTGCAGCATAGAATTCAATGTGGATGGATGAACTGGAGGAAGCTGAGCGGTGTGTTATGTGACAAGAAAGTTAGCAATCTGAAAGGAAAATTGTATAAATCAGTTGTTAGACCTGCAATGTTATATGGAGCAGAGACATGGGCAATAACAAGAGCCCAAGAAAGAAAGATGGTGGTGGCGGAGATGAGAGTGTTGAGATGGATGTGTGGAGTGTCAAGGAAAGATAGAATATGAAATGATTTTATTATTATAGTTCCGTTAAGGTGGGCCCCTTGAGCAAAAAGGTGCAAGAATGCAGGTTGAGGTGGTTTGGCTACATAGAGCAAAGAAGCGATAATTATGTTGGAAAGAAGATTGGAAAACTGGTAATAAAAGGAAAGAGAAAAGACCAAAGATGCATTGGAAAGATAAGGCAGAAGAAGACTTGAACCAGAGGGGAATTTAAGAGAGAAGAAGCCCTTGACGGGGAGAAATGGAAGAAACATATTAGAGAAGAAAATGCTGACCCCATATAAACATGGGAAAAGACAAGGATAAAGAAGAAGTGATTATAAATTTCGGGCTGGATTTTATAATTGTTTAGGCTATAAAAATCTGAGATATCTAGCAATCTTGTTCAGGCAGAATTTAGAAAACTCCAGAAATATCACACCATTTTCCTACTGTACTGAGTTTCTCTCCTATTTATCACATATAAGTGTATTCTGTAGTTTTGTGTCTTGTTCATTACAGAGACCATCTAAAATCTGTTCATCTACTGCTCTGCAGTCCTCAATTATGGCTCAAACCAATTCATATAGAGAGCTTACTCTAAAAGAAAAACTTGATGTTATCAAATTTCTTGAACCAAATTGTCAATAAAAAGCAGCAGCAAAGTTCAGGATAAGTAAAGCCTGTGTTATTAACAACATTCATAAATTCAAGGTAGAATGGAACTTTGAACATTATTAAGACAATGAAAATGGAGACCATTCCAGAAAAGTAAGAAAGACAGCAAATTTTGAGATAAATGCTGCTGTTATGAAATGGTTTCAGCAAATGCATGTGTGATAATCTGGAGGGACTCTCATTCAAATAAATAATTTACTTTAATTTTCACTTAAAATGTTTAAAAATGATAGAAGAATTTTGACATAAAAATAATATATAACCTAAAAAGGTTACAAAACTTCAACATCCTGAAAAACTGCTAAGTCACTCAACATTTAATAAGAAATAAGGATGTTTTGGTTCCTTCCTCCACACCTTCTCTCTTAGAATTTTGCACACCACCTGGTCAAATGACACACCATTTTTTGGGAAAAAGATGAGGTCATAATCGGTAATAAAAAGGTGGAATGGGATAGACTCGAGGCAGTTCTTCCCTGAGAGTACCATAGGAAGGCAGTTCCTTCCCAATAGAACATGCCATAGGGCCAGCCCACTGGGACATCCAGCCTTCAGCTTCAAGCCCATATAGACATCTCCTCCAGTGTGGTAATATAAATAATTGTAAAGCTCTCTCTCTCGGTAATACTGAAATTATAGTCTTAGGTTATACATTTAAGCCTATGTTATCTTTTTATGTTTTGTTGTATTATTAATTGTCCTTGTTGGTATTTCTTTGATTAAATTGTTAATTTTTATTTAATGTCCTTCTTGTCTGGTTTATTGACTGTGCACAAACCCCACACAGAATCTTACCACTCGGGTTCTGTAAAAATTAAGCCATCCAGTGACAAAGTGAGCAGGTCTAACAGATCTGACGATTAGAGGGCCTTGACCCTCATCCATATTCTCACACATGGCATGAATGCTTTTGTGTCTGGTTAATACTAGAGAAGGTACTGTGTGGAGAATCAAATGATGTAAATGACATAACAGTGGAAAACTTCAGAGAGGATATCTCAATTTATACAGTTTTTGACCCAATTAATGTGTATAATGCTATATAAAATCACAGCTGTCAACATTAATAGAAATAAATTCATAAAACATATAAAGCAATGTGTCATTGGTTTGTTTGATGTAATGTATGCATTCTCCATATAGTGACTATTTATCTTGTTTCAAGGGTGGTTACATTAAGCAGGTTCCACTGTATATATTCTCAATTTTATTGATAGTAGTGTCTTGCCCCTGTACATCATGCTTTTTCTGATAACAAGAGTCACACAGCAGGGCCGTGTTCAGTAACGCAGAACACCTAAGTTAGAATTCTGAATGGCTTAGAGTGCAGAACTAAAAATGTTCTGAGCATCATTGAACGATTATTCTTAGACAACTAGGCAAAATAGTGGATGAAGTTAAAATTACGATCCAACAATTGTCTCAAACAAACTGGTCAAAAAGGAAGTGAAGTAACCAATACAACTATTCAAATGGAAGCTGCATCAGATTGTGATGAAGTTAATACAGCAATTATTAATTGTAATCAACGAAATGGACCGCTATCTTCCGTTAAAATGTATTCGGAATCTATTATACCAATGTATGATAATTTTACATTTCAATGTCATTTTAGAATGAGTTAATGATTTAGAATGAGAGAATAACTTTGTGATTGTTATAATAAAATACATTTAGTCCAACATGAGCAGCCATCTTACAAATCATACGATGAAACAAAAACAATGATGTCACTAGTAGAAGTTAGCATAGATAAAAGAAGCTGAGTGAACTAGCTAGAATTCTAGCAGTGGGAATAGTGAAACAGTAGTTAGAAACAAGTTCAACATAATAGCATAACTAGACTTAGCAAGAATTCTGCATTACTGAACACAGCCCAGCTTTTGCCAAAGAATGTAACAAAAATGAGACCTAGAAAAGCAATGTTTTTGTAACTTTTAAGAAAGTTGTAAAGGCTTGTTCAGCAAGGAAAGCTTCACATTGTGAATACCCTAAATACAATTATATGAAGAAAGATTCCCATATATTTTTGAGCTGATATACATAATAACAATCCTTTCAATGCCAAAAAACTGCCAGATTATTTATCAGACTATAACAAAGCTAATTTAATTGGATGTAAAGCAATTTGGCTATAGGTAAGTGGTTAGGCCACCATCTAATAATAAATTTAATTTTTAAATTTAGAATATCATGGAAGGAAAGATTGGTCAAGAGTGAGATTTGAATCTGCAACTCCTGTTTATCATGCAGATGCTTTTTCAGTTATGTTGCCAAGACCCCTGTACAATCTTTACTTCCAGAGCTATTAATTACTTAACTAATTTAGATATAATCATACTGGTTGCCTACAGCCCTCTATGGCTCTAAGTTTACTTATACACAAACAGACACTTTTATCACACTTCATTGAATGTTGGTGTAGACACTGAAGAAGGAGAACCAAGAATCCTTCCCCATTGTGAATGGACTTAGCAGAATTTTGTTGATAAAGTATTACCCAGGATGATAGATCCCCACATTTCATATGAGAATATTAGTTTCACCTACAAGAAAAAAAAAAGTTTTTTTTTTCCAATATCCAATTCAATTAGTAATGCCAAACAAACTGCCAGGTTATTTGTCAGAATATAGATTAGCCTTGTTATAATCCAATATATAATTCAGCAGTTTGTTTCATGTTACTAATTGAATCGGTTAATGTGTATGTTCATATATATATGAGCCATTGATTTTGAAAATGGAGCAAGTCCATTTTATGTTATTGCTAGATAGTTAATGGTTTGCATTTAAACGGGTTTAAAAATATTCGTAAATAGTAATAGACTTATTTTATATTTTTTTGTTCTTATTTCATGTAAATTTAATATGTAATAATGATTATCCGTGTTAGGTGAAAAAAATCATGGTTTTGGTATGCACCAATGGACTTGTCTCACTTTCAAAAGCAATGATTTGTTGAAAACGTTGATTTTCTTTGAATGAAATGTAATTATAATAGCAAAATTGAATGTTTTATTTATTTACTTATTTATTTTATTTCAACATTTCATACTTCTTTTGAAAAGCTACAATAAAATAAAAAATAAATTTAATTTTATAGGAAAAAGTGGCTAAAATAAGAAACAATATTCAGTAGTAAGTTGCATGCATATAATTATATTTCTTAGTTTAGATGGTGCATATTTTTAAAGTATTCATGATGAACAGATAGTACATAGGGTAATAAATCCATCATATCTTTATATTTTTCTTTAGAGTGGACTTGCCTCACTTTCAAAATCAACACACAACAAATATCATTGATGGTATAAATTACTAGTAACAAATTTATACTGATATTAAAAGATATTTATTGTGAATTGATTAAAAACATAAATTTTATGTTAATTTGTAATAATAATCAGCTTTAACTATTTTTTTCACACAATGGACTTGTCCCACTTCAAAATAAATGGCTCATATAAGCCTTTCAACTTTAATGGTGTAATAAGAAAATAGTTTGTGTCATGTATTTTTGGGTTTAATTAAATTCATATTCCTGTTACACAGTTCTAATTTAGATATGCATTAATTGACATTGACAAGGAGTTATTAAAAATTCCCAACCATCAATTATGGTTGGAGCATACCACATACCAATAAATGATATTTGGATGCTTTCCTGAAATTTAACATAATAAACATATCAAAAATGAATGTTATTACTACAGTTATATACTAATAAGAAGAATATCATAAATTGTATTAAAAACAGCATTTTTAAGTGTAGGTAAGTATAGTGCTGTATAATTTATCAATTTGTTAGGGTAATGAATATATTTGGAAAATATATTTAATTTTTTTTATCTATATAAGTTTAAAGTAATAACAGAATAATTTATAATTATTAGCTGTTACGAGACAAGCAAGATTGGAAAATTTTGGCATCTTATTACTTGAAGACTGTTGTAATGCATGCAGTAATCAAAAACTCTGATCAGATAGACTGGAATGAGAGTCAAATGGATAAAACTTTTATTCGAGTAAATATATATTTTCTTATTAATATTACCATTATATTATAGGCCTACAGGGTGTATCAGAATGACGTTTTAAAAATTTGGGTGAATATAGAGGATAAAATTTTGAACAATTTGATATAAGGAACCTATAGCTGGAAATGTGATATAAAGTTTCTACAGCACTTTGACTACAGCATACTGACTGCATAGAACGTTCTATGCAGTCAGTATGCTGAATGAAACAGCAGAATACAGTATTTATGACAAGTTTTATTGACAAAACAGTAGAGTAGAATCAAACTGTACATTGAAACAGTGGCTGCACTACTTTAGAGTAAATGTTCAATGTGACGACCACCAACTTCGTTACATAATGTGCAACGACGAACCATGTTTTGTCTGACTCTCTGTAAGATGCCACACTCCCCTCTGATAGTATTAAATGCTGTACACAACATACTACACACAGACTCAGTTAGACCCTGTAGTTGTGTGTTTACAGTCTTCCATCTGCAACAATAACATGACGTCAATGGACAGAAGGGTAGCTACCAAAGTGAAGGGCGGTCAAGTACTTCTTACCGCTGCAGACACTTTATATCACATTTCCGGCTATAGGTTCCTTATATCAAAACATTCAAAACTTCATCCTCTACAATCCTCCAAATTTTTAAAACGTCATTCTGACACACCCTGTATATGTAAATACAGTGCATTCATGCTAATCTGAACTAATTACTATGTGTTAATTAGTTCAGATATCTCAAAAGTATAAATCATCAAGATGTTTCTTAAGAGGTCAAAAAGGTAAAAATCAGAGGGTGCTAAGTTCAGACTGAATCAGGATGGTCCATTACATCTCATCCATATTTATTTTAGCCAGTCTGAAGTCTGATATGTGGTATGGAGAGTTACATTTTTGTGCAGCCTGCATTTTTGTGAAGTTAAAGATGCAGTCATGGACTTTTTCAAATCAAGTGGAGAATTTTTTTAGAAAGGAATTTTTGCCCTTTGTCCTGCTGGGAAAAGTGTTTAGAAAACAACAGCAACTATATACTTTAAAATGGCTAATTTAATTATTTTATAACAACTTAATAATAAGTTACATTAAAGTTACTTTTGGGACCTTTTATTTAATTAATATTTTTCATTGTTTATATATATTGTTTCACTAAAATTAGAAGTCATTAAATTTGGTGTAAAGTAAAACTTTGCTAAGTCAAACTATGTTAATTTGAAACTGTTTATAGGTCCCAGACATAGTGTATAGGGTTTTCCATATGATATGGTCTCATTAAATTGAAATTTTTGGTACTTTTAGCTCCAACCAATCTTCCACATAAGTTTAAAAAGTCCTTGATAATTTTCTCTCATATTCTATGTGAATTGTTAGAATACAGTGATTGAAGTTGTTTATAAATAGAATATTGATGCATATATTATGTTTTGATTTTTGTAGTTTTTCTGTTGCATAATAAAAAGTTGGTGATACTGTTAACTCCTCGGAAAATTGTTAGTTATGGTGACTCATTTTACTCTCCCTTTTCTAGCACTGATCTTTCATTAGTCAAGTCTGTGTAATCTTTATTCTTTTGTAGTATAGGGCCTAACCAGATTTTTTTCACAATGTTTGACAAGTATATCAAGTGTAACATGAATACAGATAATTAAATAAAATAAACAAATACTATAGCTCCATGCCAAACATAACACCACACTATTGCAACCTCATGTCAACATTCTTTTACTGGTACTGTACATTACAGACATTCTAATTGGGACACAAGGGGTCACTTTGACAACCTACTCAAAAGTGCTATAAACTGTATACAACTTTTTAATCATTCTGTGAACAGATTCTTGAGCCTGCCATAGCACGCTTAGAATTTAAGCCATCCCTCAAAGAGGATGATGACTCAGGATCAAGAAATTCTAACTCTTATTTAGGTAGTGATGCAGAGTCACTACAAGCAGATTTACTTGACCTCTGGGACAAGGTCATTTTACACTCAATCCAACAGGATAGGACAGACTCAACATGAACCACGGAACCCAAAAAACCCATGACCCCTTCTCTATTCTCACACAATTAAGCTCTTCGAAGCCAGGGACCTGTAAGAGAGTACCCTTGGGTCCTTCCAAAATCTTCTAGTTACATACCACCCCGCATAGTGATAATTGCAGATGCGGAAGTTACTCAGGCTCCATCTCGAGGCCAATGTCACGAGCGCCCATCACCACCTACTCCCATTAGATTATTTACTGAAAACTGTAAATGGTGATCTCTTTTACCTGTCATCATCTTTTGAGAGGTCATCATCTCCAATGAGGAGGAGGTTAGTCTATAAAAACACAAGTATGATCAACAAACATTGTCGGAAACTGGAACTTTGCTAATAATATGAAACTCTTTCTTCATAATGATGAAATTGAAACCTGTAACTTTTATTCATTTGTGCTGATATTTAGTATTGTGAACGAAGCTTCGGCAAATGTACCATTATTCATCAAAAAATTGATGTTTGTTGGAAAAAGAATATGTGAAAATTGTCAATCACACACACATTGTTCAAATCCAAAAATTGTCACGAGAAAAACACTCATGTAGAAACTACCATAGATTGAGCAATTTATACAATTGAAGAATAGGAAAATTGATCTTCCTATTTAAAACGTGCAGGAAACAATCAGAAAACACATGAAAACAACTGTCAATGAACTGATTCAACAGGAAAACAATCACGAAGGAACGTCCAGCAGAATTGAGGGAAATGTCCCCTCAGAACCACGTGACCTCGATTTGTAGTTACCTGCATCGAAAAACCGATGATAGAAAACTGTTGCATGTTTATGAGAAGGACATCCAGAAGAAGCGATGCATGCAAAGGATGTTGAGGTCGATGAATGTCCACTATCTGTGCAGACATTCTTTCATTCTCCACCCTAGATTCTGTCAGAAAACTTGAAAGAAAAGAAGACAAGGAGTGGTAATCTCTTGAATGACAGACTGATTGAATAAATTCAATTTAGACCCTTTTTTTGGCTTTTCAGAGAAAAATGAAAAATTTTGAAATTGATATAATTTGCTCAGTCTTTAAAATTAGAAAAAAATGTTCTCAGAGGAATCCACACCCTGATGAAAATCGAGTACGGATTCCTTTGAGAGAACATAACAAACAAATGAATTTGTTCTTGTTCAAGGAATGTTTTGAAAAGAAAAACTTTTTCTGTTGTAGAAATGTTATTCAAAAAATGCGATTATTCACTTCATCAGTTGTAACCCATTCTATGCTTGAACATAGAAGATGTTACGCGAATTTATCAATCAGATGATCTTGTATATCACTGACATGTTGTCACAAACAAGCACATTATGATGTAATGCAAAACCAAACATGCGTGAGAGAGAAAAAAACAGAGAACGAAAGACAATTGTTTATGTGAAATCATATTCCAAAACGAAAGCGAACTGTCAGCATCCGAGGCTGCCAGAGAAAATGTCGCTGGCACCAAAGCAATATTTTCCTTTGGTAAGGAGCCCTGTGAGGCCCCAGAAATAGTCCAAAAAAGGGGGGATTTAAATAAAAGAAAAATGTAAAATTTATTAAGTTAAACTGTCAAGAAATCAAGTTATATGTGTTGAGTCGGTGACACCGGACTTTGACATCGTCGTTCATAAAGAATAGTGGAAAAAAATTTTAGATAAAGAAAATTAAAAAGGGAAATATTTAAACTTAAGATGCAATAATGTAAAACAAAATGAAACTGTAATAGAATGGGCATAGGTGTCATAGTCATCAATAAAGTGCGATCAGAGTCCAGAAGATAGTGTCAAATAAAACATTCCGGGCTTTTTTCTTGCAACCTAAACTGGTCTCAATTTTCACTTAAAAGACCAATAAGGGAGAATAGAAGGGAAAGCCTGACCAATTAGAAATAATTTGATCCCAAGGAAACTATAAAGCCTCTACCTCAAGGACAAAGAATTTCCTCTTGAATATACCTGTTGTGATCATTGCCCTCATATCTTTGTGCCTCCATTCATCACTATATCTTGTGTTACTTTACTACTCCAAACTCTAACTCGGGGCTCTACCACCGCAAGACAAAAAGAAAACCACTAGAGACATCCAACTACCAGGACATCGACATCTGGGACCTTGTCAATCATTTGTAAGCATGATCTTCGAAAAAATAAATGGTTTCTTTGTGAAACACTTGTCTTTTGCTGCCTCCTAAAAACTGCCACCCACATACGAGTAGACCTTAGTCCATCCTGACAAGAGGGAATAAAACTCCCCTAATCGGTGAATTTACAGTGGTGTCCAAGAAGTGGGATTTTAAGACCCCAATCTCCACCAGGTCAGCAAACATACAGGTGTAAATTTGCAGTTTACAATGCAGACAAGATACAAGTTGCATTGCCAACCATTACCCTGTTACTCTGTGTTACTCTTGCAAAGACAAGAAACTCAAATATTATATCTAAGCAATGTTTTTTGCATAGAGAATCTCTAATTTCAAAAACATTACCAGCAATGTTAAAACCTTTACTAGACAAAGTTGTAAAAATGTTAACTTACATCAAGTCAACATCATTTAAGTTTTTCTTTTTAAATTTGAATATCTATGGAAGTTGAGTATAAATCTTTGCTTTTGCATGCTGAAAGTAAGATTGTTATTCAGGGCCAAGTGCTGAGTCCATTTTTAGAACTTTTTCTAAAATGCAGGTGCAAATACTTTTATAAAAATGATATTTGGTTTGTTAAAATGGCATACTTTGCCAATATTTTTAAGTACTTCAATAGCTTAATACAAGGAAAACATGAAAATATTTTGACATCCACTGATAAAAAAATGTCAGCATTTCAGAAAAAATATCTCTTTGAAAAATTGCATATCAGAAAAAGTACAAACTTCATAATAAAAATGCTTAGGAAATTATTTCTATTATAAAAGAACATTTAACCCTATTGGAAGAAAATATTGCAAGTTACTTTCCTTCCTTAAGTATAGAAAAT